AACGGAACCCCTAGATACAGAACCCGGCCCTTGTTGCTGCCAACTTAGATGGGCAGAAGGGTTACATACATATAACCAATTGCTGCCACTATTTCTGCCTACTTGCTGTTAGGTGAATCTCTGCTCTGTGTTAAATACACTTAGATACGTTTATAGTGAAATCAAGTCCAAGTGCTGTGTGTTAAGCTGAGCAGTGATCTGAGGTGTAACTGGTACGCTGAGTGTGCTGTTCCTTCTGTCACCTGTGGCTGGTGGAGTCCGAGAGCCGACCCCTGGCAGGCACAGACGAGTCTCCCTCCCTCCCTCCCTCCCTCCCAAGAGCAGATGATAGTGAGGTGCCTCCCAGCCCTGGGTATCTCTGGAAGCATCACACCCATTGGCTGCCGGCAGGTTAAATACTCTCTTGGGGCAGAGCAGGTGACATGAGATGTTGTGTCACGTAACTCTCTGGGGTGGAATGAAGGGGTCGTTAAAGGATTGGCTGAAACTGACCCAGATCAATGGTGGGTCCCCAAAGGCAATAGAATCCCCAAGGACAGAACAGCTGACCCCTGTCCATGGGAATCTCCTGCGGGTGGAACATGTGGACTCAGTGTGGGTCGTCAGGCTGTGATAAGAAGTGGCTTTTGGGGCAGGCTCAGCTTGCACCTTGGTTCTGACAAAGGAGAAAGATGGTCAGGTCCAACCCTTTGCATGCTGCAGCTCCAGGGAATGCAACATTTTTGGTATGAATGATAATTATTATGATTTATTTGATTTCATGATGTTTAGAGATGTGGATTATTGGGATTATTAAAAAGAAGAGAGAAAATACAATGACTGTTTGCCAGTCTACCTCCTTCACCTCATTCAAATCCATAAAAAAGATGAAAAAAAGTTGCTCTCCCTGGCCACAGAGGGCAGACAAGAGGTGATGGGTTCAAACTACAGCAGAGCAGATTGAGATTAAATCTCAGGAAAAACTCCACTGTCCTGCTGTTCTTACAAGTAGGGAACAGACGCTATGGTCATGGAAGCTGCTGCGTTGGAGGGTTTCAAAAGGAGGCTGGATGGTTTTTAGACACAACACATCCTGCATCTTGGCAGGGGTTAGACTAGATGTCCCTTGTGGTCCCTTTTAACCCCATGGTTCTATGATTCTGTGAAATCCCTCCTCAAATTCACGTTTGCAGCCAGCCAATCCCAGGAGAAGTGAAGAGGGAGGGAGGGATAATTTAAAACAAATACTGAGTTACTTGACCTGCCAAGGTTTGCTGAGCAACCACCTCATCTTATTTTCACCCTCCTCCTTCCTTTCCCCTCACTTGCCCTGTCATGCTGGGCACAGAATGCAGGCTCTGTCCGACAGAGGCTGTCTATTTACTTGTTTTCTGAGGCCCCCAACGTGTTTCTGGGCACACAAAAATAATAGATAAGAAAATATTCAGATAATATTGTTTTCCAGCTTATACTTTTTCCTTACAGTGATTTTCCTTTGCACCCAAAACCAACAGAAGCCCTGGCAGGTAAAAGCATCAATGCCCTTCTGTTGGAGTTAGTGCAGAAAATAACACAACAGTTCACAGGGGTACCACAACCCGCGTGAGCTGCACACTCAGACAGTGATGGTGACGTGAAACTGCTGCCATTCGGGGAAGCTTTCTGAGCGCTGGCAGGTGCCGTGAGCTCCCCAGACATTTCTTGCACTCTGGTAGCACAGCAGACTTCCTTGGGCCTCTGTCAGAGCTGCTGTGTATTGTGCTCAGCCTAGCCCACGTTTTCAAGAGCGGTCACTGAGCAGTTTCTGGCTGCCCAACCTGAGACACCCCGGGCCTGGTTTCCTGAAGTGCAGAGCATCCACAGCTGTAGTTACAGTCAGCTGCTGCTGGGAGCTGGGCACTTTGAAAAGCAGACTTTATTCTGGTACCTACACAGCTCTTTTGAGTGCCTAGCCCTGCTTGTCTCGTCCTGGACACCCCAACATGAAGGCACCTCAATCCAGCGGCCACTTCAGAACCTACCGTATGGCCAAAGCCTGGTGCGAAGCCCTCCCTTTGTGGGGCTTCCCTCGTGGGCACTGTAGCAGCGTGAGCACCCGCTCTAGCCGGAAGGGGTTGAAAAGCCCTGCTGAGGGTTGGGGCTGTGTAAAGGAGCAAAACCCCGGCTGACTGGGGAAGTGGCTGCAGCTGGGGTCACGCCCCAAACGGAGCCACTCAGCCTCATAAGAAGGCCAGAGCAGCCAGAAGTGGAAGTCTCTCTCTGACTGGAGAGACAGGCTGGCTAGCTAGCTAGCTAGCTGGGGAACTCACCAGGGACCTAGAGTGAGGCAGGGCTGGGGAAAGGCCTTAGGAGCTGGGAAGCCCTAGGCCAGCAACTCCCCAGGCTGCAGGGCCTGGTCCTAGGCCCATATAGGTATTGGGGTTGCAGAGGGGCAGCCTGAGGGTGAGTCAGTCCAAACCCCTTGTTGCCTGTGATGACTGGCTGATAGACTCCAGTCTGCCCCAGGGGCGTGGGGGCTAGATGGGGACTGGCAGTAGCCATGACTGAGGTGATGTGGGGATAGTGGGTAGGGGTTCCCCTGGGGGGGAGACCTAGAGAGAGTGGGGTACTGCCAGGGGGCAGCACACAAGACACGGGCACTGGGTCCAGGAGGGACATGGGGGGCCAATGACAGGTGGGACACCAGCCTGCAGAGGGCGCTCTGATGACTCTTGTGCTAATTCCCAAGATGACCAGCAGGAGGTGCTGCAGGGGTGAGTCTGCACCAGTCTACAGCACCCAGCTGGCAACACCTGACTCCCAGAGGTGTTCAGCTCCCCGCTAGCCTCCCCTTTCAGCCCAGTCATGGGCGCTCAGCGCCTCTGGAAAGGCTGGGCTGGGGTGTCTCACGTGGCGCCCAGACACCCCAACCCCAGCCCAGGTGGCCATGGCTGCACACAAGCCCAGTGGCTCTCGGTCGGGGCTGTCTGGGCACAGCCTGGCACGGGGAGCTGGTAAACGGCGCTCGCCATCAGCGTCCCCTCGGGCAGCCGTTCTCCGGGGCCAGGCGTGTGGCTGCTTGGCCCGGCTGGAAGGGGAGTCGGGGGAAACTCTGACCCCAGCGAAGCCACCGGGAGCCGTGGGGCTGGGATCCCAGACTGACCTGAGCCATCCAGCGCTGCCCCCAACACAGCCCACGGCCCCGGGATCGAACCAGGCCAGGCTGGGTATGGGCCTGGGTCCCTCTGCCCGGCCCAGTGCTGAGTCCTCCAGCCGTCTGCCCTGTGGGGCC